TCAAAAGTTCAGCAGCACTAATGGGGTGGAAGAAGTAAAATAATGCCAAGTCCAGATTTAAGCAGGATTCAGAAATGAAAGATAGTTAATATTTCAGCCAAAATCTGGTCCAAGTTGTTATGAAAAAAGCATTCCTCTATGAAACAGGCTTTTGTCTCTTTTCCATATATTTCAGGTGACTTGAGAAAGCTGTGAGTTCATCCGGTGTTTTTCCCTCCTCGTTGTTGTCGAGAATCAGCACCATTGCTCTAAGAAGTGGTATTGTCATTTTTTGAAAGACCCTTTGTGTTGACTCAAATGTCACTCATGGCTAAAACTGGAGCAGATATTATAGCAGTTTTTGTTCTTGCAAATTGTACCACATGTTTTCAAATTAAGAAGATGCATTTATTGTGTTGAACCATGCATTCAACAGCAACAGCAAACACAACTCCGCTTTATGGAACATCTTTGCCCTCATCCCTTTTAACTTTCCAGAAGTTCCTCAAGTCCTGGTTGTTTCAGCAGGCCTAAAGATCCCAGGGCACTGGCAAAATATTGAGATGGCTCCTGTGTATTTAGCATCTACTCTTTGCCTAACCTCTTTTCATTCTGTTTTAGTTTTGTGCTTTCTATAATTTTAAAGTTTTTAATATCAGTTTGTATATACTGATTTTAATTTGTCATATGCCACCTAGAGTTACTTAGACTCTATATAAATATGAAGAATGAATGAATGAATGAATGAATGGAGTTTTGACACAGCTTCAGCATCATGCCTCTGTAATCCTCCTAGCTGACTCAGGAATTCCATGAGTCATAAAAGAGCCGAGGTTGCCTACCCCTGCAGGGCATCTGTTGCTAATTGTCCATTTTATCCTTTGCAATGCTAATGCTCCATGGGGCTTTGAATGGGTTGTTTTCCCATTTATAGGAACTTCTGCCTTCCCTTATATCTGTTTCCACATGTTTCAGAGAACCACATCTTATTCCTTCCAGTCAGCTATAGAATTTTTTTTAAAGGCTGTCTGGCTTGTATTGCTTCATCTATATAAACAGTGTGAATTGAATTTATACTCATACATTGGGAGAACATGTAGGTTTTAACCTGAACTTTTTTTTTTACTAGGTATAATGCCAGAAAAGACTAACAAACAAAGCTTATATTTGATTTTGCATGTCACAACAGCGACAAGAATTATATTTGCGCAATGCTGGAAAAATGAAAGAATACCATCAGATGAGGAAATAATAATAAAAAAAATACTAGAATGCGCAGAGATGGACAGACTGACTATGAGACTGAAAGAAAAAGAAGAAACAGAATATTATCAAACTTGGGACTTATTTTATTGATGGCTAGAAGAAAGAACAAAGGATTAGGAATTAAATATGTATTAGCAATGTAAACTCAGACAGCACGTTGGTTGAAGAATTATTACTGAATGTATGAAATAAAAAACTAATAAATTTTTTTCTAGCCTCTAGGCTCAAGAAAGCCATTTATTTTGATTATCCTTCCACCTGACCTTTTGAGGCTCTCCTGCATTCTGTACTATGTTAGCAGTTGCTGGGTGAAGTGCTTGGCTGCAAAATTGGTATTGCATTATCATTGTGGCTTTCTGTGGGAATTTATATACAGAGATGATGAATCTTGATAGCAGACAGCTTTCCCTTCATACATCAGCTCATTTTCCCAAAAACAGCCAGGCAAGTGCACATACAATGTACTGAAATCACAGAGGAAGGCAATCTGGTACTTCCTATTTTTATATGTAAAAAAGACAATAACATTTTTTTTAAGCCAGGAGCTACCATAGTTCAAGGTGGGACTTTGATTGACAGTCTTTGCAAGCTCCAATTGGTTGGCACTAATTGAGTCATGGTATTATTCCCTGTCTTGGAGAAAAATCTACCTAGGTGGTTGCTAGGCATTGAAAATGACTTGATGGAATATAATCAATCAACCACTTCCTGCCTATTCTCAAAATTTAGTGGCTGGCGAGAGTGAAAACCAAGGAAAGTCTGGCTTCCACAATGTTTCAGAGGACTTTTCTGACTGAAAATGGTGACAGTATGGGAGGGCCTTGAGAGTAAATGGAGAAGAAAGAAGACAAAGACCAAAATAATGCGGGCTCATGTTTGAAATGGTTTAAATTAGTCAGAGGCAAAGAAGCTAAAAGCAGAGGCTGCAACGGAAATACATTTTTAATTAGGGACCATTAAAGCCCTGACTGAATTGTCTGACCTTTCTGTCAGAGTTTTTCAGTGAGGATGCCAGTCAAGAGTGCCCTGAAATCAGGAAGCCAGAATGAAAGGCACAGGCAGATGCAGCTTATGGTGCTTGAATGGTTCCATATGGTTTCCTTTATTACTAGAGGGATGCAAAAGATTGTTAAACATAGCTTTTGCAGGACACTATCTAAGCAAGCCAAGTGCATCTTGCACTGTTTAAGCAACCTTTGTGCATATATAGTTGACTTTAGCTGTCATGGCTAATGTTCATTGATGGTAGGGGGAAAAAACCTTGGAAGCCTGGGCAAAGAGATACTGCCTAGGGCAGGGCTTTTCAACCAGTGGTACGCGTACCACCTGTGGTACATTGGCACCTGGTAGGTGGTACGCGACCATCCTAGAAAAGTGGTAGCGGGAGAGAGGAATGAGCTGAACCAATGGCAGCACCACACAAGCCTGAGCGAGAGATGGCTGGAGCTGCAGGGCTGTCAGGACTCAGAGGAAGCACCAGGATCAGTGCCAGGCTCCAGCTGGAGCTCTGTGCTGATCCTGGCACTTCTGCTGAGCCAAGAAGAAGTGCCGATCAGCTGGAATGTTGCAGCATCTCCAGGGTCTTGTGATTTACATTTAGATGCTTGGCAACTGATTCATATTTATGATGGTCACAGTGTCCCAGGGTCTTGTGAAGTGACCAAAACCTCCTGCAACCAGCCAGCAGGCAGGGAGAATAAAAGCCAAACACCCTCCACCTCACCCACGCTGCCAATCCTCAACAGAAATGCTCACAACAATGAAAACCTTGGACAGGAGGAAGAGCACCGCGGGTGTCTTGCTTGGCTGTGCCTTGGGCAGCACTTTTTTCAGTGCCATTGTAACTTCGAACAGTCACTAAGTGAACTGTTGTAAGTCGAGGACTACCTGTACTTCATCACTTTTTTCCTTTTGGGGGGGGTCATCAAGTTTTTGACACCTTGCTAGGTGACTGGTGGTACTCAGATGTTGCCATATCCTAAAAGTGGTACAATAGGTGAAAAGGTTGAAAAGCCCTGGCCTAGGGAACAGATAAGAGGCAGCATGGCCCATAGCTCGATAATCGACAGGGCAAGAGGCTCAGAAAAGACCCCTCTCTAATTTCGTGGGTGTTAATGCAATTCTACATGGATAGAATTGCAAAATTCTATCAGTGTTGCTTTGCAATATCTAGTTTAGGAAGGCTGACAATTGTTATGATACAGTAAATCTAGATGAAGAGCATTTATAGGAGATTTTTATTAATATATTAATGCAACCACTCCTTCTGATTGTAATGCACTGTGTTATTTGACTTTCAACACAACCTTCAGGATACAGTTATTTAATCGTGAACATTGTTAATGTTCCCAGTTATGCCTATAGGCTGAGCAGACAATCCAGATCAGCTTTATTAAGGCTATTCACCGATTAAGAATGAAAAAAAAAATGTTCTTATGATTTAAGCAAGTCTAACCAATTTCGTCTTGTCACAGATAATCGCACGCAGAGATAACAATGAATTTCAAAATGATTGTTCTGATTATGATCTACAGGTGAGAAGAGGCAAGATGCGAACCTTTTGAATAATATAATGCCATAATCCCCAAATTGTGTAAGATCTAAATAAGATGTTCCCTGGAGAGAATTAAAAAACTTGTAGTGTGGAAAAATAAGCGTCTCTCATATTTTAGGTGAGGGCCTCTTAAAACAGTAGTTTTCAGTTGGCATCAGTCATAAGGCAAATGAAATAAAGGAGACCTCCCTTTTTTCAGAACAAAGAAGACTGAAAATGACAGCCTAAATTATTGTCCTGAACCAAAGTGAGAAATTCATTCAACAAATTCAAAGATCACATCAGTAGACTTGGGAGGGGTGGGTGTCTCTAAATACACAATTACTCAAATCTTCACCATTTTGTTGCCCAGTACAACACAGCCCTTTGATCACTTTCATAAAATAAGTCTGTATGTCAATAGCTATATGTTATCATTCACTTACTATAGCTGAGGCTATAGGTACTCTATTCCTATCCACTTTTGGATGCTATATGTGAGCCATGTTGAGTGTGTTGATGCTCATGGAGAAGGACCTGAGAGAGAGAGAACAAACTTGATGGAGCCAGGGAAGATCCATTATCAAGGCATAATGTAGAAAAGCTACAACTACAGACTGGGTGAGACCAGGCTCAAAAACAGCAACTGTGAGAGGGACCTTGGAGTCCTAATGGACGATCACTTGACTATGAGCCAGCAGTGTGCAGCAGCAGCCAAAAAAGCTAATACAATCCTGGGTTGTATAAACAGAGGCATAGACTCAAGATCACACAAAGTATTAGTACCGCTTTATAAAACCCTAGTAAGACCACACTTGGAATACTGCAGCCAATTTTGGTCACCACATCACAAAAAAGATGTTGAGAGTTTGGAAAAAAATCAGAGATCAAAAGCCTGGAGACTAAAACATATGAAGAACGTCTGCAGGACTTGGGTTTGGCTAATCTAAAGAAAAGAAGAAATAGGGGAGACTTGATAGCAGTATTCCAGTATTTGAGGGGCTGCCACAAAAAAGAGGGCAGTCACATTATTCTCCAAAGCACCAGAGGGCAGGGCAAGAAACAGTGGTTGGAAACTGATCAAAGAGAGAAGCAACCTGGAATTAAGGAGAAACTTCCTGACAGTGAAGACAATTAACCAATGGAACAGCTTGCCTCCAGAAATTGTGGGCACTCTATTACTGGAGATTTTCAAAAAGAGGCTAATCACTTGTCTGAGATGGTATAGGTTTTCCTGCTTGAGCAGGGGGCTGGACTAGAGGACCTCCAAGGTTCTATTCTATTCTATTCTATTCTATTCTATTCTATTCTATTCTATTCTATTCTATTCAGACTATGAAAACTCAGAGGAGGGAGGCAGATGTACATCTCAGATAGGCATCTCCAAATCCACATAAAGGTAAAAAGAGGAAAAGCATATTCAGAGTTGCAAGATTCTATATTGCCATAGTCAATCTTAATAAAAGTAGTTTTATGCACACTGGGCATCAATTTCTTGGTATCATCTATATTGTCAAGCTGACATTAGGTAAATTGTGGTTCTTGGTTTCCACCACTCAGTCATCCTTTAGCAGTGAGGAAGACTGAAATACTCCTTTAGTAGCCACTGTTTTCGCCTTCCTTAAAATGGTTTGGTTGATTTAGGGAATGCAAAGCTGTGCAATTGACTAGGTTGACTGGCTGGCTGGAAATAGTTGAAACCAAAATTGAAAGGATTTTGGTAGCTTGTCTGGCCCTTCTCTTGGCTGCTGCTCTCAGAAGTTTTGACTCCTTGCTTCCTTTCCTTCTTAGGATAATTTACAACTCTTGTACCAATTCTCATAGTTGTTTCTCAAACTCTGACTCCTCAACAGCAGTTACCCAAGCACCTTTTGTAAGAGATACCCCTAAAACCCTCTCCTTGCTGCCACCTTGTGGTTGATAGATTTAACAATTAATTGGCTGGAGTAAAAAAGAAGAAAAAATCATTCAGGTGACAGTAACAGAATGGGAGGAAATTGCACTGATTGGAGGTACTCAGAATATGCTGAACTCAATTGGAAGAAGCTTATCACATGGTAGATTATAGTGAGTGAGCTGCAATTGAAGCCAATGGAATCACCAATCATGGTCCTTAAGAGTTCTGCATGTTAAAGCTGTATGGATAGTAGTGCACCAACCTCTTCCCTGTGTACGGTAAGAATGTGCTATGAGAAAACAAGATGGCAGCATCACTTTCTGCAGTACTGGGAACATGGTAATCCAGCAGTAGATATAGCCTAAATATAAGATACTTTTATTGCTAGACTATGTTATGATTAGGTTTGCACACTGCATTGTAAAGTTTGTGTAGTTTAATTGAGTATACAACAGGTCAAGTCATAAACTGCTGTCTTCAAAAATGCAGTAACTTAGTATTCATAGAGCACTTTAAGTCAATATGCAAAAAAAACCTATGTTGGTTTGATGTAATGGCCTGCATGTATATATAAATGCATACATGCTGTCTTGGAATGTATTTGTTCCTCATTATTGTCCTTGTGGGGATTGGGTCTCAATCATGCTAAGACAAAAATAAAAGAAATAATGTATTAATCAGTGAAAAGAATACCTTTTTTTTCCTTACTGTGTTTTTTTTCCCAAATCCCAGCTGGCTTGGATTAAAATTCTTTAAGCTGGAAATCACAGGAGTTGTAATTAATACATATGATGGTTGCCAGATGAGTGAACTGTTTTCTTTTTAAAGGTTCTGCCACAGGAGTGGATACATTTTCTTATATGGGAGACATTAAACAGAGACTTTCAGAGACTTTATTCCAAGTCAGTAGTCAGACTAGCTATGACAACAAACAAAATTCTATCTTTCAACTGCCTACTGCTATCCTAGTTTCTTTCTTTTTAAAAACCTATTAGCATATTTGCCAAAAAATATTGAATACCATTTTGGATTGTTTATGAAATGGTGCTGTCAATGCTGTGACAATGCATTTCATGAAAGAAACAAGTCCTAACCTGGCTGTTGACGATATTGCAGCTAATTGCCTGATATAATTAAAAGCCTTTGAAGGAGAGTCAGAAAAATGTCTCCAATTAACCTGCAATGACTAAGATCATAATGACAATGGCAAGGTAGCTCCAACTGCTTCTGTAAGTTTCCAAGATGTTCCTACCTATGTACCTAGAAGAGTTGATGATTCCCCCCCCCCAAGATTATTGATTGAATGAGTTCTGTTGATGGAGAGTGACAGCTTAAGGAATGTGTAAGTGAACAGGATATAAACAGAATGCAAAGCTACCAGAACTTTTTTTTCCTTAAGTTCTTTGGAGCTACCATGACTTAAGAAATATTCTAGAGAGGCCCCTCCCTCCTCTTCCTTTGCTTGACCTGTGGGAGAAACCCCAGAGAGATTTTGCAGCTGCATGGATGATCCTAATTTAAAAAGTGATGTTGTTAAATTAGTTTAATTGCTATAGCAATAGAAATGGCATACTTAAATGGGCTAATTACTGCTCTTCTCCATCAACACTTTATGCTGTTACAGTACCATGCTAATAGTAAAGAAGAGCTTAGCAATTCCCATAAGAACTTCCTTCTTAAATTTATTTATAAAGCGGATGTTTGAATGTCATGTCTCTACAAATGGAAGTCATGCCAATTCCACTCAAGACAAATGATAAAGCAAATAACTATGAAATGGCTTTATAGGAAAATACAGGCATACCACATCTGGGCTGCAAAAATCTAAAAGACTACTTGGTGGCAACAAAGCTTTCTGTGGATTTTATGGATTTTGCTTTCATCTAGGTCAGGGGTATCAAACTCAATTTCACTGAGGGCCGCATCAGCATTGCGGTTGCCCTGGGAGGGTGGGGGGGCAGATTGGGTGCAGCCTTCTGGGTGGGCATGGGTGGAGTGGGTGTGGCCTACTGGGTGGGCATGGCCAGTTCTACATCATTCGCGTCAAGGGTGCCTATGGGGGTCTGGGTAGGAATGGGACAGATCTGAGCATCTCTGGCAGAAGGGGGTGGGACTGGGGCAAGTGCCAAGATGGCCATCACAAAATTGTACATTGGCTCCCAGCTGGCCTGAGCCAGGGCCAAGGCAGTGGGGGCCGTTCTCTCATTGTTTCCAGGATGGCTTCGTGGGCCACATGAAACCACTTCGTGGGCCGCATCTGGCCCCTGGGCCTTGTGTTTGACATATCTGATCTAGGTATTGGCTAAATTTTGCCACCAGACATGGTGTGCTTAGGAAAATAACTCTTACAGAGTTTCCAATATCCATTTCTCTCTGCTGAAGAATTCTAAGTAAATAGTCTTTGCCATTACTTCCGAAATCACCTCATTATTGGACACCTTGTATTTATGAACCATTTGATTGTCTATGAACCATGAGCAGATAATGGTTTCTATTCAATTTAACTCTATGGAATTTTGGCCCCATTAAAATTAATGAAGCAAACATATAATTTATTGTTAATATTTTTTACATCACTTTTCTTTTAGTCTAATGGACTAAAACTACATACAAGACAAAAAATGAAATATGAAATATAAAAACACAAACCAATAGCAAATCAATTCTAAAAGTCTTTTTAAAAAAACAACATGCTAAAATTACTCCAGAAAGTCTATTGGTTAAAGATATAACATAACCCTTTTCTAAAATGTAAGACAGTAGGACAATCACATACTACATCTAGGACGAATGATACCAAAGAAAACTGTTTCCCATATGAACATTTTCGAAAAGGCATTTCTACAGACCGATAGCTAGATCTTTTGCTAATTAGGACTTAAAATGTTAAATCTTTGAATTAGGTCAGGAAAGCAATTGTCAGCCGCTGTAAAAAGATGTACACACTTACCTAGCCCTAAAGGAAGGGGAGAACCCTCTCATTGGTTCCTGACGCTTGAAACTGGAAAGCTTCGTAAACTGCATTTGCTCATCTGCATGAGATTTAGTTATTGAATTTAGACCCTAAATTTCTAAAAAGGCTAGCAATAAAAACAAAAGTCAACTTTTAATCAAAACACCATCAAAAATACAATTAAAAAAATAGCCAACTTGGTCGTCTAAGTCTGTTTTTCCCCCACCAAAGTTTAATTTAAATTGTTTTTGAAGGCAGGTAAAAGGATATCAGAGAAAGAAAGCTAATGTAATTGCTTGGTAAGGACTTTCAGAGCCTGGGGCTACTTTCAAGAATGCTGTACCTCACATCTCTGTAACATTTTACTGATGTTGCTAGGTTCTTCAGAAGATTCTCAGAGTTCCTCAAGCTTGGGTAGGTCTGTAAAGAAAAAAAAAAACATATGAAGTTTTCTGCAGATTGAATGTAACTACAGATTATTACTTTTAACTGACAGGATTTGTTGAAGATTATGGTGGCACATAAATCTAATTAAATAATGTACTTTAATGTGCTTATAACATGTCCATGTCAAAAAGTTGATTCCAGTATTCTAGAATACCTCAGCATATAATATCCCATGTGAGCATGTGTCAATCCACTAGATCAGGCATGTCAAACTGCCGGCCCATGGGCCAGATGCGTCATGCTGAAACTGTGCCCACCCCATTGCTGGCAATGGGGGAAAAGTCCTGATATGTCGCACAATATCACGTGACATTGCAAGTTTGACATACCTACACTAGGCAGACTAGATCAAGAAATTAACTCCATAGATAAGGAAGGCTAAAACTACTTTATCTGAGATTAGCTATAATAACAGATCCTGCAAGCCTAATTTTCTTGTACCTTCTCTTCCAGCCTATAGTTCAGAAAAATTAAGGTGTTTGCCTGATCCATTACCAAATATTATCTGTCTGTTATGAACTTAAAATATGTTTCAACCCTTGTCATCCAGGCAATAGATTTTGCATTTTTCCATCCAGGAGAAAAACAAAAGAATTTCCAAAATCAGGAAAAGGTATGATGGTGGCAATAAAATCAATAATGCTTTAGAGATACCTCTAGGTTAATGGTATCATGCTTTGATTTTAAAGGAAAGCAAAAACAAGAAAGGACATTTATAACAGCCTGTGAACATTTATCTGGCAGTAAGTCATGCTGAACTAAATGGGACTTACCATTAAGTACAAGGGTATAACAAATGTTATTCTGCATGCAACCCAGTGTTGTTTTTCTGGCTTTATCTTGTCCTTGATATTTAAACCTGTAAAACAAACAACTTGCACAGAAAAACAAATGAGCAGGACATAAATCTTTAGCAGGTGCACAAATCTTAAGTTAGGCTTAATAGATTCTTACCATAAGACCACTGTTCTGAATAAAATGATGCAATCTTTACAGTGACATTTTTATTATGATCCTAGACGCTAAACTAGACAAAAACAGCTATTCTCTATGCACTTGCTTGGAAATAAGTCCTATTAAACATAATAGCATTTATGTCACAAAAGTCATAGGTAAGATTGCTATATGAATAAAAGCTCATAAAATGATATTCACTTACTATGATGAGCATATACTTTCCTGAAAGAATTAAATATATATGAAAAAATAATTTCTGCTTGTTTCTTGCAAAGAAACTGCAAATGTGAACTGAAATATTGCAGCTGTTTTAGATTCTAATAACTTGAGTATTAGATGAGATCACTGCAGGTCATGCTCAGAACAAATACCTTTTATTCCACATTATTAAAATTTCTGTGAAATTTAGCTGGAAGACACTTATTGTTTTATTGTGGGCAGTTTTATCATATTCTTATGTCATAAAGTTCTGAATGACTATGTTATTTAACATCCTAAGATAAAAAATTACCTCTCTTTGTTTATTCCAATTTGTTTTGTCTATGAAATGATGCAAGGGATCCACTAAAATGTGAATCTGTAATGAATTCAATGCTCTATTCATGTCAAAAAATAATCCTAGTAATAATTAAAAATAGAAAGGATAATACCTGTGCTAAATATAGGGCAGACCTATATTTATGTAGAACTTTGATCTCTGCTTCAGAAAAAGTTAGTTCCTTGACAGCCACTTTTAAAAGTCCAAGCCCCATTCATTTCATATTTCTTTGGCCTATTTGGCATTGAAGAAGGAGAGTGCAAAAGTTGGCTTGAAACTCAACATTAAGAAAACCAAAATCATGGCATCCGGCCCTCTCAATTCCTGGCAAATAGATGGGGAAGAAATGGAGGTAGTGGCAGATTTTATTTTTCTGGGCTCCAAGATCACCTCAGATGGGGACCGCAGCCAAGAAATTAAAAGACGCTCCTGGGGAGGAAAGCTATGGCAAATCTAGACAGCATACTAAAAAGCAGAGACATCACCCTGCCAACAAAAGTGTGTATAATCCAAGCCATGGTTTTCCCAGTTGCAATGTATGGCTGTGAAAGTTGGACCATATGAAAGGCTGAGCGCCAAAGAATTGAGGCCTTTGAACTATGGTGCTGGAGAAGACTCCTGCGAGTCCCTTGGTCCTAGAAGAGATCAACCCTGACTGCTCTTTAGAAGGCCAGATCCTGAAGTTGAAACTCAAATACTTTGGCCACCTAATGAGAAGGAAGGACTCACTGGAGAAGGGCCTAATGCTGGGAAAGATTGAGGGCAATAGAAGAAGAGGACGACAGAGAATGAGATGGCTGGATGGAGTCACTGAAGCAGTAGGTGTGAACTTAAATGGACCCCAGAAGATGGTAGAGGACAGGAAGACCTGGTGAACATTGTCCATGGGGTCGCGATGGGTCGGTCATGACTTCGCAATTAACAACAACAACAACAACAACAACAACAACAACAACAACAACAACAAATATTCTCTGTAATGATCTGCAGGCTTTTGGTGCTTCAGTTAAATACCAAGGAAAGGTTTGGGGAAAGAACCTCTTTTTCAGTAATGGTGCTATTATCACTATTAGGTGAGAATATTGCCCTTTGGAAATGTTTACAGAATTTTTCCTTCTGGGGAAATTCGGGTGAACCACCCATTCATTTTGCTGCCCAAAATTTGATGGAGAATGTTGAAAGTGTTTGTGAGCAGCTCTGTTTAAAAACTGTCTGCCAACTTGCATAACAAGGAACCATCAGAATTAAAAATAACTAATGAAATGGCAGGTAGCAGAAACTGTTCTTAACCTCTCTAAATAAAATGATTATTTAACATGTGTTAAATAATCTGTCTCCATCCAGATCCAAAACTTGTTTAAGAAAGATTTAGCTTTGCCTTCCTGAGAAATCTCATTGTAAGGACCAAATTAATTTGTGGTGTACAAAAAAGGGAATTTTTTGTAGTTTCTACAACATTTGGTGTGTTGTATAGAATTTGTTGTTGTTAACTGCAAAGTCGTGTCCGACCCATCGCGACCCCATGGACAACGTTCCTCCAGGTCTTTCTGTCCTCTACCATTTTCTGGAGTCCATTTAAGTTCATGCCTACTCCTTCAAGTGACTCCATCCAGCCACCTCATTCTCTGTCATCCCCTTCTTCTATTGCCCTCAATTTTTCCCAGCATTAGGCCCTTCTCCAGGGAGTCCTTCCTTCTCATTAGGTGGCCAAAGTATTTGAGTTTCAACTTCAGGATCTGGTCTTCTAAAGAGCAGTCGGGGTTGATCTCTTCTAGGACTGACCGGTTTGAATGCCTTGCAGTCCAAGGGACTCACAGGAGTCTTCTCCAGCATCATAGTTCAAAGGCCTCAATAATACTCTCCAATACTTGAGAGACTAACTAAGAGAGAGAAAAACGTGCATCCAGTTTTGGTCTCCATGATATAAAAAGATGTTGAGAATCTAGAAAAAGTGCAGAGAAGAACAACAAAGATGATTAGGGGCCTGGAAGCTAAAACATATTAACAACGACTGCAGGAATTAGCTATGCCTAGTTTATTTTTTTTTTAAAGGACTAATGGTGATGTGATAGCAGTGTTCCAATATCTAAGGGATTGCCACAAAGATGAGGGGGTCACCTATTCTCCAAAGCACATAAACGTGGGACAAAAAGCAACAGATGGAAACTAATCAAGGAGAGAACCAATCTGGAGCTAAGGAGAAATTTCCTGACTGTTAGAACAATTAATTAGTGGAACAACCTGCCTCCAGAAGTTATGAGTGCTCCGTTTGTCTGGAATGCTATGGGAAGTCTTGCTTGAGTAGGGGGTTGGACTAGAAGACCTCCAAGGTCCCTTTCAACTTCTACTCTACTCTACTCTACTCTACTCTACTCTACTCTACTCTACTCTACTCTACTCTACTCTCCACACTCCACACTCCACACTCCACTTATATGTAGAACAGTTGACAAAGAAAGCTGCTGGGCAATAGTCAATTGATACAACCAAGTGGATCATCTTTATTAATCCATGTGCATTTAATGTTGCTAGAGATTATTTTACTCTGCACAGAGGCCCTCCCTAAAGCTCTTGAGGAATCATAGCAGTAAAAGCAGCCCCAGCCCCACCTCAAGGCACTCTGTTAAGGATTGCCTAATTTTCAAAGGAACACTCTGATGAAGGTTGGAATTAGGCTTCTGAAAATAATGCAAACCAACTGTGCTACTTGATTTCACCTCTTGGTGAGACTTCCCTTGAGTTCCTTATATTGGAATAAGAAGCTCTGGTAGCAGAAGACTTTCCGGTATTGCCTATATTCTCTTCATCTCAGGGCCTCAACAAAAGGAATCACATCACACCTCAGATAGATCCAATATTCAAGGCACAACTGGAGTTGTTTAACTCACTTGTTCTTTAATTTGATTTCCTTCATCTTGACTGGTACCTTGTTACTGTACTAAGCCATTCTTGGTCTCAATGTTAGAGAGCCCCCTAGTGTTATTAAAGAGAATTGATTCTCAAGGACTTAGGGTAGGGAATAAAAATCCAATTGGCAGTCTTGGAAGCTTGTTTCCATGCAAAGTTTCACAGGTTGAATCAAACCAAGTGCATGTGTGTGCGGGATGTATTAGAATGGGGTGCCAGTACTCTAAAATGACTTCTAGGACTTCTGGAAGAATTCAAGACTTTGTAAATCCTCCATCATGTGGCTGAATGGAAGAAAAATATTTTTGCATGCTAGAAAAATTGCCAAGATGATATTCTCTCTCCATTGTCTGATAATATTTAAGGTTAAATATAACAGCTTTGTTGTTGCCTTTCTTTTGTAAAACAAGTTGATACTTACTAACACACTGTTAATTATAGTTTTCCACAAAGGGAACAACTTTACTAATATAGCTTAACACATTAAAGAAAATACTGGCCTCTCTCTCTTGACATTTAACCATCAAACAAACCATTAACTATGGCTGATTAGTAAGTTAAGTCTTGGAAATTAAAATTCTATTTAAAACATGTGTACAATTTCCCTCTTATTCTTCACTGGATGAACAATGAATCAAACAGCTTACCCTTTTTTAGAACTTGCATATTCGTTGACTGCTTTTATCATCTGTACACTTTGAGTTTCTAATGAGAGTCTGGTTTTACATACAGAAACTAAATTAGCTTTGCAGAAAAAGGGGTGGGTGATCAGAAGGCAGGGATAGAGGTGGTGACATTTGGAGAGAAAATATTAAGGAACTGCAACTGGAATAAGCCAAAACCAAGCAGCACCATTTCTGATGTGTTTCATGCATATACTTTGCTGCTCAAATTAATTTGAAAATCAGTGGGGAACAACAAACTAAAGCTAATTGCATGGGAATCTCAACTGTTACTGTTTTGCTATGACTCAAAAATATGTTAGAAAAAATAAAGCAGTGTTTGGTGTTGACAGGGTTTAAAATGTATGATTAAAGCAAATTTTAAACTTGGTGCCTCTGACACATCTCTAGGGCTACAATTCTGTGTGTGCTTATGTGAAGGCAATGGGAATTACTTCCAAGTGCATGTTCATAGAACTGCACTGTAGAAACCATTTGATTCATATGTTATGAATCCACAATTACATTTTACTTTGTAAGGGTCAAGAAAAGGTTAAGCTTGCAATTCTGAGTAAAGCTGAAGTAAATAAAAAAGAAGAACCTCTGAAGTTGCTGAATTCTGTGTATGCATGCTTGGTCCTATACCTACTTTCATTCTATTTTTTTAAATCTATCATTTTGTATTATAAGAATCTGGTATGCACTAATTATTTATTTTTTGTTATAGACAGACAGACAGACACACACACACATAGAAATCATATTGTCAGCAAGTTTCTTTTTGTTCATTAAATGTAAGACTCAGCCCAATAAATTATTAGTTGATACAGAAAAGGGCATCTCAAAGGAGACTTTATTTAAAGAGATGTACACGTTTATGCATTCTTTCATGTTTCCCTTCTAAATGAACTCTGCTGCTTAAAGTCTCTTTCAGGAAATATGTCCTTATGCCAAAATCTTGAAAATAAATCCTAGCAGCAACAGGATTTTTTATTTTAATTGAATGAAGTTAGGATTGTCTTTTTCATTAGACAAAGGGTAATGGCTGTTTCTAGTAATGTATTCTTGATCATGGTTTATGTACTATGCTGATAGTCTGACTTAGCCAACTATGTGAATTCAACCATTTTGATCCATAAGCCATCTTATATAATAAACTGTGTCTGCTAAGATATATGAACCTTGTTTCTCATGAAAGAATAGCAAATCATTTCTTAATGTAGGATTTTGTGTCACATGCCAGAATTACTTTGTGGGGTGGATACTCAACTTCGGGTAGCAAAGTTCTTTGAACTCATTGTTCATCTTTCTTTTTATTCAAACATAATTCAGCTTTGTCTTGTGTTATGGATTCTGTACCCTGATGTCACCATGCTGAATATCCTTTTCCAAATAAAAGGAAAGTATTATAGCAGTGCTGCAATAAGGAAAAGAAAAACATGTGTAGGCACCTTCCAGCAATTCCTTAAAGAAGCTGTATTGCGTCCATGGGCTCCTATGACTAGTCCAGGTCAAGTGGCTTTTTATTTGAAATAGTGTTGACAGGTATAACATACATGCCCATAAATATATTTTTCCTTTCCAAATATTTATTCCTATTTTATTTGTCATGATTATTTTTAATCGCATAAAAATTTAAGCCTGCAGTGGGTTGTAAAGAAAAATATTTTTTGTTGCCATTACGGAAACATGGTGGGATGAAACTCACACATGGAACACACAGCTAGAGGGATTTAAATTATTTAAAAG